GTTGCTGTCACAGCCCAGGGCTGTCACCCTCATCCCTGGGAGAGGGTATCCCCGTGAGAGTCACCACCATGCACCCCCCTCTCCCTCCACAGAATGTGGGTCCTGTGGTCTGTCAGCACAGTAGCCCCTGGGCTTCCCTGTCACTACTGCTCACCTAAGACTTGCGGCTGTCTCTGCCTAAGTGGCCCTGGGGGAGACCCTGCTGGTCCAGGTCTGACCTGGCCCTCAGTGGACTCTGGGTTACACAGTGGTGACTCTGTCCCTAAAGGTAAAAATAGCTTCCCGCAGAGACCTTCATGATCTGTGATCCACCCCATGCCCCATGCCCCTGCCCAGCACTGCTTCCAGCTCGACCCTCACCCCACACTGACCCCCTAACCCCCTCCCTCCCCCCCCCCCTCCCTCCCTCTGTACGTCTTTCACCCAGCACTCCTCTCCTTTTGGCTTCTTGTCTGACCTTCCCTCAATGGTCCTTTCGACTGGTTTCTGTCATCACTGTGTGCAAGTGCGCGTCCTGATGGGACAAATTAGCTCCTTTCCCAAGGCCACACACACACACTGTTGTCAAGGACCAAGTGCTGTCTCAGGGACTTAGGCTCCGGTGTCCTACCCTGGTGCCTAGCAGTCAGTCACAAAGGCGTACACTGGCCTGACACAGAGTGTTCTTGTCCCTGCTTTTGTAGGATCCTTCCCTGCCTGTTTGGCCTGGCGGGTGCTGGCTAGGCAATGTTTGGGTGTCTTTGCCTCAGCACTGTTCTGTTTGCCGTCCCCATGTGTCACATAGCTAGAGGGGGAGGCAGAACTATGACTCAGTTCCTTTTCACCTGTAGGAGGACCTGGGCTCCTGTGGCAGCAGGCTGCACTGATGACAAGGAACTTGGCTGGATAACCAGGGATCTTGTCTCTTCATACACCCTTGACTGGAGGTTGCATGCAGGAGAGAAGCTTTGTGCAGCTAGCCTGTCTCCCACTTAGTTCCAGACCTGTGGTGGAGGTGAAGTCAGGGCCTGGGTATCCATTCTGCAGGCTCTGAAGCAGTCATTTCCTTTTCCTCTGGTCTCCAGCCCCAAGGCTACGTCTACCCAGGGGGTTTGGAGGCTGACCTCTGCCTTCCTATTTCAGGCTGAGGGCTTCGCCTGGATAATTCCCAGAGACAATGGCCTTTGTTCACTTAGGAAGTGCTCCCTGGTACTCACTCATCCTAGTGCACAGCCCCATCAGCTCTGCCTCTCTCTCTCTCTCTTTCTCTTTGTGTGTGCGTGTGTGCGCGCGCGCGTGTGCTCACAGGTGTGCTGGCAGGTGTGATCTGTGCAGGCTTAGCTCCAGAGAACGACGCCTGTAGGTGGTCTGTCTCCTCCTCCCGTGATCTCTGTCCCCTCCTCCCGTGATCTGCGTTCTTCTGCTCGCTTCTGCCTGGGCTCTGATCTTCTTCCCTTTTCCCTTTTACATGCATGGACTGCTGTCTTCTTCCCTTGCTAACTTGCTTGCTTTAGTTAGTTCATCCGCATACTTGTTTGGTTTTCAGACAAGTTCTCAAGTAGTCTAGGCTGATCTGGTCTCAGCTCCCTAAATGACTGAGCATGACCTGAGATTCCGTCCTCTGCCTCCCAAGTTCTGGGGCTACAGGCTTGCATCACCACGCCTGACCCTCTTGTTTCTTTTAGACTATGCACCTGTGACATGAGAGTCAACCCCAAACACTGTCAGCTGGCCCCACCTTCAAGAGGCAAAACGAAGATTAAGAGTAATTCCAGATAAGTCTCCAGCAAACAGTACAGGGGTGGGGGTGGCCAGAGCGGAGCCATACAGGTACAAGGACAAATAAGGGGACAGGCAGATGGCTGGCAGCACCAGTGCTGAGCAAGTGCTGGGTTTGGGGGTGCTGAGAGCCAGAGACCCATGACAAGCAGGGGAGTGTACATCTGAGGAAGAGGATAGAAGGGTAGCACTCTCCTGTGTGCGATTGGTGCTGGCTAGCAGCGGCCGATAGATGCTGTACAGCCCCATAGCCCTGTCTGCTGCAGCTGGGGCGGGGAGGGGCTTCTTAGTGCTGGCTGTGAGCAGTGGGGCCTGCCTGAGGCGAAGTGGGTGGGGGTATCCAGCAGAGCTGGCCCGCTGACCTGCAAGTTCCTTGCCAGGGATCCCGTCCTGGAGTCTTCACCTACGCTTGGGCTTCACGTTAGGCCTCTTAGCTCAGTCACCTCTAGAGCAGGGCTCCATGCTCTGGAAGCTGGACTTGGGTCAGGGAAGGGTCCAGACGTCCTGAGCCTCAGGTTTTTCCTGTGGTCCTGTGTGTTCTGCTACAGAAGGCCCTCCTGTGTTGTCACGTGACTCACAAGGCTTCTCCCCAAAGCCCCATGCTTGCCTAGTACTGTTCCGGAGGTCCTGATGCCTCAGGCCTGGCTGTGTCCACTCTGGTTCCAGACATCTCTGGAGATGTTCGAAGAGTGTGTTCGTGTCATTTCTCTATAGATTCTCAATCTTACTTGTCCAGCTTGTCCTGTGGGCTGTCACTGGGGCCCCCAGGGAGTCTCTCCTCACAGCAGATCCAACAGGTCAAGCTCTGAGAAGCAAGTCCCCAGGGTTCCTTGTATTTCTTCCGTGTTCTTTGTCACACTATTGAGGAGCACTGTCTTGAGTATGACTTAATGGTGTCTCCCCTCATCGCAAATCAGTCTGCCTGTGTTCAGTGCCTGCCGCAGAGACGATAGATGCTTTTACACACACACACACACACACACACACACACACACACACGCACGCGCACGCACACGCGCGCACACACACGCGCGCACACACACACGCACCCCGCTCTGCTCTGCTACTCATTGCTTTGGGTTAAGGCCCTGGATCTTTCCTCCTCCTGCCTCTGAGCTCCTGGAGTCAGTACATGGCACAGTCTGTAGTGTTTGGTTGGCATTCTAGAAATGTTTGTGTTTTAACCTGTCTCTCTGGCTCATCACAGTGTCTTATTTGTGCTGTTGTCTGTGTGTAATGTGATTTTCTCAGCTGTTTGGTTAGCTCTGGCAGAAAGGACCCTGTCTTAGTGCCTCCCCCTTCTGTGTCTCCCAACCTGAGCCTAGAACAGAGCACTGTGAGCCTAGAACTGAGCAATGCAAGCCTAGAACAGCTTGCTGCTGAATCCTCTTGAATCTAGGTAGTGGTCTGTGTAAGACAGTGGGGCCCTTGGCAGTCGGGAGGCCCCTTTCATTCTGGACAAGCCACATAATTTATGAAGCCCAATGATGGACTCTTTATTTAAAATAATTATTACAGGGCCTGGAGAGATGGTTCAGCAGTTAAGAGCACTGACTGCTCTTCCAGAGGACCTAGGTTCAATTCCTAGCACCCACATGGCAGCTCACAACTGTCTGTAATTCCAGGGGAGTTGACACCTTCACACCAGTGCAACATAAAATAAATTTAAATAATTGTTTAAAAAAAGAAGAGGAAGAAAGAAAACTAAAGAATCTCAAAGCAGTGGCAGGAGGGCAGTGAGCCTAGCATGACGGCCTTGTCACCCTGCAGCCCCAGCGCAGGAAGCCAGTCACCATCCCGTGTCTACCCGTGAGCACACAGCTCAAGCCCCTTGTGACACGTTGTGAAATGAAGCACATGCAATGGTGACACTGCTGGACACTGACAGCTGGTTGGAAACAGAAGCCAGCCAGCTCCTGGAGCTCGCTAAGTGTCTGGTGCTGCACAGGACCATGGCACCATGAGCCTTAGCTTCTCTGTAGTCTGAGATCGGTGGCCTGACTTTTAAAACGGCAAATAGGCTAGCTGGCTGGGAAGGCCTGGGTAGCCCTGCCCTTCTGATGCCTTCACTTAAAGTGCCAAGGCTCCTGTCTCCTCCTTGGAAGGTCCTCTGCCTGTGGACAGGAGGGATAATTAGTGGTCATGGCAGTTGAAGAAATGAAAGCCCCTCAGAAGCGGGAGGAGGTTCCCCTTTCATCTCTTCTTGAAGGAATGTGAGGACTTGGGTGGAAAGTTCCCCAGGGTTCCTTGGTATTTCAGTGCTTTGATATCTGGAGGAAGAAGAGAGCAATTAATTGCTATAAATGGCCTGTTCCTATAGGGCTGCTCCGATGGAGGGTGGGGGCATCAGACAGAATGCTGGCACTTCCATCCCAGCTGTCCTCTAGATGGAGAGACCCACACTGCAGACTCAGAGACTCTGAGCCTTGCAGTTCCATTGTGTGGGGCTGGGGAGCTGGGTACAAGCAGTTGCTATAGAGACATGAGGACCTGAGTTCGAATTCCCCGCACTATGTTTAAAAAAAAATGGCCACATGTACTTGTAACCCTAAGATATTGCCAGCTACAGCCTCCATGGTACGCTTCAGGCTGAGTGTGAGACTCTGTCTCAAAGGAACAAGGCTGAGGGTTAGAGGGGGACGCCCTGCATCTCCCCGTGACCTCCACAGGCATGTTTCGGTGTGTGCGCACAGTGTGTGGGGCGATCCCCTCATGGAAGTGTGCCGTCCTCAGCCTCTCCGCAGCTTTGTCTACAGAAAGGGGATGAGGAGATTTCCCCAGGCTGCTCTGGTCCTTCCCGCACCTGCCTGGGAAGTCATCGTCCTCAGGCTTGGCAGGGCTGAGCAGGGTTGAGGCCTTGGAGGCCACTCAAGGCTGGTGGGCTCTCTGTGCCACTGGTCCCCTCAGGAGGCCACGCCTCCACAGTCTAGCTAGCACGTTAGCCAGCCGATGAGATTGTTGGGGAAAGGCCAGAGAAGCCTTGTTCTTTGGTTCTTGGGTCTTAGATGGCAGCCAGGCTAGTCAGTGCATACGCCTCAGTCGTACTTTCTGTGTAAGCGGCGTGCATCTATGCCAGCTGTGACTGTCAACTCCACACACAGATGTGCACAGTCGGAGCACACCGGAGGCGGAGATGAGGGACCTGACCTTGTTATCCGAGGTGTTTGGTGGGTGGGAGGTCGTCTCGTGCAGATGCCAGGACTCGCCCATCGTCTGTCACAGTGAGTCATTCTGGTCCCTTGTCTCTAGATAGGGTGGCGAGCCCAGAGGAGGCGTGTGTTGTGTGGAACAGACAGACCTACCTCAGCCGGAAATGACAGGCCTGGTGCACACTCAGCACCCTGTCTTGGAGGTGTTGGAGCAGGCTCCCTGGGCTTGCCTGACATACAGGTATTTCTGGCCTGTGACAGAGCCATGGCCACAGGCTTTGTGCCAGCCGTTTTGTTCCCTCCGCGTGGGGGTGTGTGCACCAGGCTCTACTGCAGCAGCCACTGGACCCTTGTGGCTCCTCCCATGACCGTGTTCTGTGTTTCCACAGGGCGGCACCTTCTTATTTCTTCCCAGTCACAACCCTCCCCTTAGACTTGAGCATCTGTTTGCCCGAAGTTAATTTCCAGAAGCAGGTAAGGATCTGGGGGGAAGGCTCTGATGTGTGGCCATGGGACCGTGCTGCTGTGGAGGAGGGATGGGGTAGCCTTGGGATCCACCAGATCCACCATCTCACTGCCCTCCTCTGGTCTCATGTGACACTTGATCCTTCCAATATGGGGGCTCTTTCTTGTTTTTCTTCCTTGTACCACTAGGAGTTGAACCAAGGGACTTGTACATAGTAACCACTGAGCTGCCCTACCGTGCCACAGTGATGCTGATTTTCCAGGCTAAGATTTGAGCAGACTCTGGATTAATCCATTTACTGTTTTATTACTGTGTATGATATGGGGGTAGGGGACGCAGTGACAGTGCATATTTAAAGTTGGTTCTCTCTGAGCCGGGTGAGTTGGTGGTACATGCCTTTAATCCCAGCACTCGGGAGGCAGAGGCAGGCGGATCTCTGTGAGTTTGAGGCCGGGCTGGACCGACAGCCTCCAAAACAATACAGAGAGACCCTGTCTTGTAAAAACCAAAAAAAAAAAAAAAAAAAAAAAAAAACTTTGTATAACGTCTGTGATCTAGAGCATTGTTTTGATCTGATATAACCTATGAAAACGTGTGTGCGTTTAAAAGTTGCAGAGACGTTTGTTATGGTGGTGTGTTGCACATGGTGCTTGCTACCACTGAACCACACCCCAGCTTTCATTCCGTGTGTGTCTGTGTCTGTCTGTCTGTCTGTCTGTCTCTCTTTCTTTCTGTCTGTCTGTGTTGCCTGTTTGTGTTTTGGAGACAGGATTTGCTGTAGTCCAGACTGGCCTTAAACTCACTATGTAGCTGAGGGTAACCTTGGAGGTCCTGATCCCTCAGCTTTAAAAAATTGACCCAGGCATGGTGGCACAGGCCTTTAATCCCATGGGAAGCAGAGGCATGTGGCTTTCTCTTGAGTTCTAGGACAGCCTGGTCTATATAGTGAGTTCCAGGCTAGGCAGGACTATGTAGAAAGAGCCCTGTCTCAAAAAAACAAAACAACAAGAAATAGCTGGGCGTTGGTGGTGCACACCTTTAATCCCAGCACTCAGGAGGCAGAGGCAGGCGGATCCCTGTGAGTTCCAGGCCAGCCTGGTCTACAGAGCAAGTTCCAGGGGAACTTCCAAAGCAATACAGAAAAACCCTGTCTCAAAAAACCAAACAAAAACCAACCAACCAACCAAACAAACAAACAAAAACCAAAACAAAACAAAAACACAGGTAGGTTTTCATTTTATAGCCCAGGCTGACTTGAAACTCACTGTATAGCTCAAAGTAGCTCTAAGCTAGAGGGAAACCTCCATGCCTCAGCCTCCCTAGTGATGGGATCACAGATAGGAGTCTCCGTGCCCAGCTCTCACGGTGGGTGTTTGTTTTGGGTTTTGACACAATATGCTGCTGTCTGTGGCTGGCCTGGGACTTAACGTGTAACCTGGTTATTCCAAGTTTATGGCATCCTCTTGCGTCTACTTCCCAAGTGCTGAGATGACAGGCGAGCCTCCACACCTGGCTTTCCTTGTAGTTTTACCATGGACAAGGTGGAAGGCAGAGAGTGGACCCCATAGGGCAGCGAGCGACCCATGTGACCCTGAAGGGCCATCCTGTGGTCTGGCCCAGCTTGGGTTAATTGATAGTTTCCTAAGCAGATACAAGACCCCCATGGTTATAAGCTGATATTTTTAAAAATATATATGTGTGTGTGTGTGTGTGTGTATGAGTGTGTGTGTGTGCAAATGGCATTAGCTTCAGGTTTATAAATAAAAATGAGCCAAGGGGCTGTACTTGTATCAGAGCCACTCAAGCAGGTCAAAGGGAGGCCAGCTTGTCAGGCCCCGTATCAGGACTGATAGAGACCCACATGGAGCACTAGCCTCCCAGCCTCCCAGCCGATGCGTGTCACACTCTCGGCTTCCCTTGTACAGCCTCCTAATCCTGAAGTGCCGTCAGCAGGTCCGTGGAGGTCTGCTGATTCAGGGTGGGAACTCGACATCACTGTCTTCGCTGTCTCCCGCACCTCAGTGCCCTCCTCACTGTTCTCTCCCTGTGTGCGTCTTGCATAGTGATTGGGAACTGCATGGCGCTCTCCCTGGCTGACCAGCCATGCTTTCTGTAGCGGAGGGGCAGGCTCAGAACCACCAACTGTATGGGCACACGGTGTCTGCTCTAAGTTGTGACCCTCGGCACTTGTATTTATTCCGTCAGATGGGATTTCCTGGCGTGGCACCACTGTATACACACCATGTGGTTTGCCACCACATAATGCAAAACCACAGACCCCTCCCTTCCCGTTCCTTTGCATAATTGACAGTTGTTTCCTTCCATTTCCCTTCTCTGGTCCATCTGGAGGAAGGGAGGCGCTGCCCTGTTTTGGGGATGGGCTGTGTAGGAATAGCTGGAGCCATCATTGAGATGCATTGTTACTTGATTCTTAGGTCTGAGCGCGGTGAATAATTAGTATGTAAATTAATTGCAGCTTGAGCTTATGTAATTTAAGCACATTTTAATGGAGACCAGTTCTTGATCCCTACAGGGAGAATAGGAGTCCTCCAGTGACATTACTGTAGCACTTGACAGAATTGTGATGAAAATTTAACGACATGTTGGCTTGGATAGGCAACAAATCCGAGTACACTGTGACATGCTTGTGGCACACCAGCAGCCATTTGTCTGAGGTGATTATGACGTATTCTCTTCAATTATTAATTTTCTTCCCATTGACGCCCTCGCTGCAAATTAGGACGGAGTTACATCAGCTAGGACGCTTCCTAGAGCATCTGGCCTGGAGTGTGAAGGGCAGGGACCTGTGTTCCACTTTGTATCCCAGATCCAGCCCTGGGCGTTCCTTCCCATCAGGCATCGAGGCAGGGTCAGCGCAGCAGAGCTTAACACCAGCGGTTAGAGGTGCTTGCCGCCAAACCTCTGAACCAGAGTTCAGTCCCTGGGAGAGAGCCGACTCCCGGCAGTTGCTCTCTCTGCCCTTCACATGCGCACCGTGGTGAGCACGCGAGCACACGCCTAAATAAACAAAGAGGCGTAAACAGAGTGCCAGATGACAAGAACTTTTAGAAATGCTAAGTCAGGACTCTTGGGAAATTTAGGAAACAGACAGGCAAGCATGTTGAAGTAAGAATGACCTGGCCCCAGAGACCCCGTTGAGCCCTGCTACTGAAAACCCCAAGACCCCCCAGCAGGGCTACAGCAGCAAAGAGGATGGGACATGGCAGTCTAGGGCTGTGGAAGGGTAAAGCTAGGGACAGAGTTCTGTAATGCAGGCCCTGTGTGAAATGACTGCACAGTGACATTCCTCCAGCAAGCACTGTTGTGGCAGCAGTAACCAGACCCCTGTCCTGTGGGAGCAGCTCTGTAAAGTGAGTTCCTGGGACCCACTGTGATTGGAGTGTGGTTTGTGAGAGCTTCCCAGGGGACTGACAGCAGGGATCCCTTGGGTTGCCAAGATAACCCGGAAACTTTTGTGTATGGCGGCACCTGGTGGTAGTCCCTTGCATGTCATGCACTGTTCGTAGGTCTAACTGAAAACCAGCTAGCCCTTGTGCACAGGACAGACTTGGAAGACTTTGCTCCTGGGAGCTCTGACTCCCAGTTTGAAGGCTCCGAGGAATACTTCCAATGTTTGCTGGAGGTCACAGTGGCTTGGGCCACACTGTTTCGGGAGGGAGAGTCCTTGGGAAAAGTAAAATTTGGTTGTGGTACTGTGGGTTAGTACTTAAGTCTCTTAATACAATGCCATTAGTTGTGAATTGGTAAGAGTAGAATAGAGAGAGAGCATCTGAGACACTAAAAGGCTGCTCCTCTGTTCCATTCAGCCAGGTGGGCAGTGCTTACTAAGAGCCTGCTGGGTACCAGGCTGTAGGAGGGCAGGGGCAAGCAGAGCAGACGCAGCCGGAAGGGGAAGAGGCAAAAAGCCCCCGCTCCAATAAGGCACTCAGAAGTGGGACAGTGAGACAGGGCTGTGTGACAAGAGGTGGCGGCATGGAACTGACCCCTGGAAAGGTATCTCGAGGCCTAGACGAAGCCAGATCTGGGCTCAGGGCACGGATACCCAGCGCAGAGACCAACCAGGAGAGCAGGGAGAGCTGGGCAGCAGGGGAACAGGGCTGATCACACTTGGCCTCCCAGGCAACTGGCCAGGCTAGGAAATGTATTTTCAGGTAGGACTTGGGCGGTGGATCTCTCCTGACCTATGTCAAGCTACTAGCCACTCTGTAGGGGAAAGGACAGTGGAGGATATGAATGGGCTATGAGGCCAAGGCCATAGTAGTCCAGGTAGAAGAAGCACCAGAGAAGAGATGTAGGCCATGACATTCATACGTAAGGTCCAGGGTCACTGTGAAGCTGTACAGTCCATCCCCAGACCAGCAGTGCTGGTGCACGAGCTAGAGATAGAACAGGTCGGTGAAGGAGAGATACCCAGATCCTTGCTTTCCTGCTGGCTCTTCAGGAAGTGAGGACCTTCCATTCACAGGGCAGTGTGTGCCCTAGACTATGCTCATGGCCACTGTGCCTTCCCCCAGCCCCTAGTGGTTACTCTGGCCCTTTTCTGAGCCCAGGTGGAGTTGGAATGGAGCAGAACACAGGAGAAAGGAGTCTGGGCTCTAGGGTTCCGAGGGTGGGTACGAAAACTCTAGAAGGAGTCCTGTGCTGTGTCAAATATGCAGACATGATGTCAGCCCGCCCCAGCTGGCCAGGTTTTTAACCTGTTGTGTGGGCTTTCAGGGCGAGGGCCTCATTAGGCTTTTGAGCAGCTGACGAGTAGATACTCAGGAGCCGTTCGTTGCCCAGGCTCTAGCATATTCCTGGGTACGCCCTTGGCATGGAGTAATGCCTTGTCCAGCATTTCCCTGTCTGGGACTCATGGGCCACTGGGAGTAGGTGGTGTAGAAGTGTCCTTAGCCTGCCGGCCGGGTTCCCTCATTCCCCGAGTGCAGGGCTGTTGAGGCTCCACCCCACCAGCTGCTGCGTTATTTCTGACTTGTCCAGGAGTTCAAGTGTGTAACCCAAACCCCTAGATCCTGCCTCTCTCCCCCAGCTCCTCATGCAGGAGGAGGCTCCAGGCTTCTCTTTCTGGGGCTGGCTGTAGCTCAGGCCAGAGACACCTGGACACAGCCGCTGGCCTTCAGGAGCTACCCTCTAACAGGTGGGGTGGGTTTGTGAGGGGCAGTGGCAGCCCTACAGTGCCTGGGCTCTGTAGCCCTGGACCAGCCACCCCTTAGAGGGACTCCTTGGTGCCTCGGCTGTCACTGCCTTGGGTGCTGTCACCAATCTCACAGTTTCCTGCGCCAATGATCCTTTCCTTTTACTTCTTATGCCTGTTGCCTGTGTTTGAAACCTAGAACTCTCGAGGCTTCACGCCTCACCTCTCCAGTGGCTCCTAACGGAAAGCTTGGCTGTCCCCTGCAGCCTGTGCTGTGGAGCAGAAACTTCAGCCATGCTGTCAGGGCCTCAGGTCAGGAGCTACTGAGGACCCGTCATGTCTTCTGTGACTTCTGTGTGTCAGAAACGAGGTCCCTACTGGGAAGGGACTACTTAGGAAAGGGGTGCATCACCTACAGGTGTCAGTATTAGCGTGTGTCTCATCCTGGCTTTCTCTCTGTAACTCGTCCCCTCTCCTTGCAGGAGTCCCCAGAGCTGGGCCAGGGGGATGAACCGCGAGGGAGCACCCGGTAAGAGCCCGGAGGAGATGTATATCCAACAGAAGGTTCGCGTGCTGCTCATGCTGAGGAAGATGGGGTCAAACGTGAGTGCCCGGAGGGTGTCAATCAGCCAGGAGGGATGGGGCAGCTGCAGCCACCTCCTGAATCTCCACGAACTGGGGAGAGGGCTGTGGGGCCAGTCCAGGCTCTCCAAGCACAGAGACCAGCACTTGGAGGGCATTGCTGAGATAGTCTCTCCACCCCATGGCTGATTTTGAGCCAGGGACTACGGGGACTTTAACCCTCCTTCCTGACCCTCACTGACCGCAGCAAGGCTTCTGTCCTGGGAGCAAGTGAGGCACAGCTGGGCAGGTGGCCACTGACGAGGGCTGTGGCGGGCAAGCTCAGGGACGTCTCTTGAGAAGTGGAGGGGTTTGGAGCGGCTGATTGACTGCTGGTGTCTGGCCAGGGCCTGACTTTCGTACCTGCTCTGTCTGCTCCAGAACAGACAGTGATCTAGATTCAAAGTCAGTGGCAAGACTGGTGAACCTCAGGGACCTGGTTTCCAGGGTGGAGGCGGATGTGACTGCTGGGAAACCACAGAGGCCTTGCCAGGAATAGGGGACAAGGAGCAGGAGGAGAGGTCCTAATGGGCTCAGGTACTTGCTCCCCTCACCACAGTTCTCTCACCCTGCAGCTGACCGCCAGCGAGGAAGAATTCCTGCGCACCTACGCGGGGGTAGTCAGCAGCCAGCTCAGTCAGCTGCCACAGCACTCCATCGACCAGGGTGAGTCAAGGGCCGGGCGCCTGCCAAGCCCTCCCCAGCGCACTAAGCAGTGCCTCCTCGCAGGGCTGAATGGCTGACCTGCCAGTTTAGGCGAGACAAAAGAGGCTCTTGTTCCCTCTTATCCACAGACGGCCTCCTGTCTGGTCCATCTCTCTCCTCAGGTGGGAGTCAGGGATCCAACAAGGCAGGTGGTACATTCCCTCCCAGGCCTGGGGGAGGGAGGGGATAGTTACATCTGGGGGTCTGTGGAAGCTCAAAGGGTCTGGTTTTTGCGTTCCCTAACCCACTACGACCTCCCCTCTTGCTCCTTGTCCTCTATTCCTGTCCCTCCGCTCCTGGTTCAGGGACAATGAATGTGTGGTGACAGCATTGTCCCTGTGGGGCACGGCTGTGCGGTGGCTGGCGGGTCTGGCACTAGCAGGAAGGATAGCCCAAGGGGCCTGATGTCCCCATACGCCCAAGGGAGTTCTGAGGATCCCCATGGTCAAAAGTCCATGGGTGTTTATTGAACACCAGGGGCTGTGCCCAGGGATCGATTCACAGGATTTGACAGTTGACAGCAAATGCTTGTTACTTCCTGTTAGCTGACAGTGGTTTGGAAGCAGTAAGTCATTGCCCTTGACCAAACAGAGGTGCCCAGGAGTCACTGAGACAAGGCCGTGGGCGGCTCCATGTCCCTCGGCTGCTTATGGCGGTTCTCTGTCTCTGAACGCGGCCTGACGCCGGCACAGCACCCTGATGAGCATCTTCTCGCGTCCTTTTCTGTTCTTCCCGTGTTTCGTTGGGATTTGGGCTATGATACTTGAGTGGCTCAGGCAAGTCCCTCCCTGCAGGGGCGGCCACCGCTGGAGCAGAGTGTTTGCTGTGTTGAGGCTGCTGGCCGGGACTGGACGGGGTTGGGGGTGAGGTGGGGGGGCAGATCCAGCACATTGGGCTGCCGCCCCGATTAAACTGCATGTTGCGGGCTCAGCCCTGAAGCAGGGGCTACTTCCAGAGCACTGGGGCTGGATGTGGCATGGCTAGCTCAGCAGAAACCTTCCAGGAAACCTCTGCTAACTCAGAGCAATTTGGGGCCATGCATGTCTCATCCACGGCCTGCCCAGGCGTGCCTGCTCACGTGGGCTGTGTGCTAAGCGGCACCACAGCAAAGGTGTCTACAGTCTGCCTCCCTTCCCACTGTCTCTCGGGTGAGTCCTTTTCTTCCCCACATCTGGCCTGGATTTCCCTCTCCCAGCCCCTAAGCTAAGGTCCACCAGAAAACTTCAGGCTTCCAAGCTCCCAGGGACTTACTTTCCTCCCACATGGTCCTGAGTCACTGAGTTTCTGAGTCTCTGTACAAGTGTCCCTAGTGGAATGCCCTTAACAGGAGAAACTGCGGGACCAGGTCAGAATAGGCAGCGCCCAGCACATGTCCCCTGCCACATACATTCAATTGCATCTAAAAGCCAGTGGGATACATACTGACTGTTAATAGGAAAGAGTGGTGTGTGTGGCATTGAGGGGCAGCCCTGGGGCTCATGCCTGTTAAACTGTGCTCTGCCACTGCCTGCAGCCCCTTGATAGAACACCTTGACTGGGTGTGGTCTTCATGATGGACTTTCACTTTTCACTTTCCAAGCTAGGAAGTTTTAGAATTTCTTTTTTTTTTTTTTTTTCCCCTGAGACAGGGTTTCTCTGTGGCTTCGGAAGCTGTCCTGGAACTAGCTCTTATAGACCAGGCTGGCCTCGAACTCACAAAGATCCACCTGCCTCTGCCTCCGGAGTGCTGGGATTAAAGGCGTGTGCCACCACCGCCCGGCTAGAAAATGTTTTTGTATGTTGTTCATGAATTCTTTTGTAGTAGAAGAGGAAAATATGTTTTGTGGTACCAGAGTTCAAACTCAGGGCCTTACACATGCTAGGTAGGCACTCTGCTATTGAGTTATTTCCACTTGCCCTTAAGAAATTATATACTGGCCCAAGAGATGGCTCAGCAGTTAGAAGTACCACTTGTGCAGAGGACCTGAGTTCAACTCCCGGCACCCATATCAGATAACTCACAACTACCTGTAACTCCAGTGTAACCTAATGTCTCTGTAGGCACCTGCACTCACATGCACAGACCCACACATGTGAAGGGAAGCCTTTTTCTTTGAGAGAAGCCTTCCCACCAGCCTGGTTTTAGAGCTGCATCAGTCCCAAATAAACACACAGGAGGCTATATTAATTATGAAGCTGTTGGCCTTGCTTGTTTCTTACTGGCTAGCTCTGACTTAAGTAATTATCCCATAATTGTTAATCTAAGTATTTCTCTTACCGGAGAATAGTTCCGGGCTTCCTAACCCATGGTGTTACATCTTGACTCTGTGTTTCTCCTTCCCAGAGTCCTCCTGGACTCCTAGTCCCACCTATCTAGATTCCTATTGGCCAGCAGTGCTTTATTGACATATACATAGGACTTCCCCAACACACACATACACATGATTTTTTAAAAAGCATATATATTTTAAAGTTACATTATGTACCCTGATGTGTTAATGCACATTTTAATCCTAGTAAGAGTTCAAGGCCAGTCTGGGATATAAGAGACTCCGTAGTAAGAGATATAACTATTGCATCTGTGACCAATATCACTTCTGACATCAGATATTGCATGGAAATCAAGATTCACTAGACTCAGTACAGGTTAAGTGAAGTTTATTCGAGAAGACGTCACACAAGAGGCGGGTGATCACCGCAGGTTCCAGCTCCCAGGATCCTCCCAGGCTGTTCCCAGTGATCCGACCAGACACAAGAGAGGGCAAGCCTGTCCCGGACCCCAGACTAAATCTCACACGTTCACATATGTACCTGTGACCAGTTTGGGTGTGGTCAGCACCACAGGTGCTTAGTTAGATCTCACTACCAGACTGTATTTTAATAACCCATACTTATACATGCATATGAAAACTCACTTTGCAAAACCAATAATTGAAAGCACAATGCAGTCTGCTAAGTTGTTTATGAAGGTCACAGTTAAGGCTAAGGGTGTAGCGCAATGGCGGAGTGCTTGCCTAGCGCCCATGAAACCTTAGGTTTGTAGGGCATCCTTGTGAACACAGCACTTGGGAGGCAAAGGCAGAAGTCTCAGTTGAAAGTCATTCTTGACTACATAGTGAGTTTGAGGTTGGTGCCTGGGCTATGTGAGACCCTGTCTCAAAAAAAAAAAGAGGTGATCACAGAGACCTCTCCGTTGCTTTGGTTCCAAAACTGCCGACTCAGCCAGAAGCGGCTATGGGCAGGTGGGTGTGGCCATCCTTAGACACTCTAGAACCTGAGGTCTCCTGGGTGTGTGGCATCCGTAGATACTTTCTTTGCTGTGGCATGGGTTTCCTGGATTGGGGAAGAATCATGTCAGACAAAGAATGTACAGGATCTGTGGTTCTGATACCCTGTGGACTGCCCCCTAGCTCTGGAAGTCACCCCACCTGGACCAAACGCTACTTCCACAGGCTCTGGGGAGCTCAAAGACTATGAATTGGGGTCAGGGTGTACCAGACGTGGAAGATCTCAAGCCTCCTTTTGTTTTCTCTGTTACAAATAAACCACATACAACCACCCATTAATAGAACCCAAGCTAGTCTATAGTGTAGACCAGGGGCTTGTGTTTCTGTCTGTCCTGTGAGGCTTGTGTTTCTGTCTGTCCTGTGAGGCTCAGTTGGTCTCCAGTAAAAGTCTCACCTACCGCCTTCTCAGTGTGTCCTGCTGCCTCTGCCTAGACGGCCAAAGCCTAGACAGACATGGGGCTAGGAGGATGAGGGTCTTGCACCTTCTGTCCACTAGGTGGCTCTGTCTCTCAGAAGATGGCAGAGCTCCACCCTAGCTTGAGAAGATTTTGAGCAACTTCCTGTGGCCCGTCTGTCCCTCTATACAGAGGTCCTGAGGCAGACCCACCCAAAGGACAGCACTCAGCCTCACCCGTGGGAACCCAGCTACCGTCTAGGCTCATACATTTGTCCACTGGGGTGGGGTTGGCAGCTGGTTCCCACCACCGTCTAGCTGTGTTTAGAGAGAATGGGCAGGAGCTGGGAAAGGGACTGACCAGTTGGTTTCAGCAGGCCCGGTGGTCTCCCAGTACTGAACAGTGGCCCTTCCTCGTTCTCAGCCTGCCTGAAGACTGCCTCCTTCCTCTCCATTGGCAGTGCTCCCCTCCCCCCTCCTGTCCTCGCCGGTGTATCAGGGCCTCTAGATTTAGTCTTCCCTCTCTACCCTACTTCACGTGACTTCCACAGACCTCAGGTCAACACCTACCAACTATACCTCATCCCAGAGCGCCCTCCAAATCCCCAGCGCTTCATCTGGCTGTCCTGATGCAGCCCTGCCCTGCATGCTCAGCAGGTCCAACGGGGCCTCCTTTGTAGACCAGCCTCTCCACCTGTGTTCTCACCAGGCACCTCCCTCCTTCCCTCCCTCCCTCCCTCCCTCCCTCCCTCCCTCCCTCCCTCCTTTCCTCCCTCTTTGGTGGTGGTGGGACTCGGGATTGGCGGAGGCCCTCATTCACACCGGGAGGCAGATACTAACCCTCTGAGTCACTTCTGCACCCCTCGCTGTGGCCGTTCCTCGGGGCTTTGATCCTTCTGCTTTAATGCTCCCCAGATTGGCCTCGGCCTCTCCTTCTTGTTTGAATTCTTGTCTTAGGTTTTTGTTGTTGTGTTGTTTTGCTTTTTAAGATTTTTATTTTTTTATTTTTATGTGTGTGTGCCTGGACAGATGGAGGTACACCATATACCTGCAGTACCCACAGGGACCAGAAGAGGGCACTAGATACCCATGAACTGGAGTTCCAGATGCTTGTGAGCCTCATGTGTGCTGGAAACTGAACGTAGGTCCAGAGGAGCAGCCAGTGCTCTCAGCCTCTGGGCCATCTCTCCAGCCCCAGCTTCCTGTGTGTTTGAGACGGGGTCTTATATGGAACAGGCTGCTCTTGAATTTGCTTTGTAGCTGAGAATGATCTTAACTTTTAAAAATATTTTTATTTTTAT